CGCCTACGTCTAGGTAAGTAGTGTGTGTAGTACAAGGACTTCGGGGCCAGAACGGTCAAAAACGGGTCATGATGGAGGTTCTACTAGGGGCAGTCTAGGGCGTCGAATGAGGGAAGGAAATAACAGCTGCACAGCACGGACGAAACTCGAGTCCTCGAAACGCATCGGAAACAAGCCTTCTCTATGGGTAGTAAGTAGTGTTAAGTTGAAACAACCAATGAGCGTGACCGACTAGGTATAGATGGACGAGGAACGCGGATATGATTCGGGTTTGCAGTCTTTGTAGCGTATTATTAATTTTTTTCTTTTTTTTTCCTTTAATTTTCTGCCGAAGTACTAAGAGAAATAGTGGTTGATTAAGGGAGTGATCCCCAGATTTCCTCCCGGCAATGGGATTTAGGAAAGGGTCTGTGAGGGCGACCAAGGTATTGCTCGCAGGAAGACTCGCAGAAAATGGTGCCATGTCTAGTACATTACATTACGCTATCTATACCACAACTGCCAGAGCAAAGCCAACCTCGACAACTAGTTACTAGTACCGGTTTAGGATAGCGTAGCCGATCATCGCCTTCTACGGTGTTCGATCTACAGAGTAGCCATAATAAACGACTCTAATGCAGGGCCCATGAATCTCTTAGCACATCTTTATCAGTGCGACATAGTTGCGGACCTACCCTAGTGTTAGGTACCAACTTTTGTGGGTTAATCAATGCAGCCTACGACTACAGTAGCGTATATGGACGTATGCGGGGAAATGACCGGGCAGAATTGGGGACAAGCTATAGGTATTAGCTATACTACTGCAACTATCGTTATACTATACCATCTCGAGGACATACTTATACTGGATGTAGGTAGACTTGATTTTAGCCCTCGCCTCTACTCACTACATAGTACACTACTATACGAAGCTATGGGTTTACCACCTGACAACGGCCAATAATCTCTCAATTGACGCTATCACTTTTAGTACGTGATCCTACATTACACTGCGTGCCACATGCAGTACACATGGTAATGTTCGCGTGTGGTTGGCTTGTGGTTATTGTTGCTTGTGCACGGCCAGTTTATACCATGATGCCCCCTCTCTCCACCTGATTTCAAATCCACACTATCTAGGTTGATCCCAGCAGCTTCTGCGTCTGTGCGGCTAGGCTCACGAACCGGGCTTACGGATCTGCTAGTGTGGTGTGGTGTAGCAGTGTACGTGTGTCTAATGTACTTACATAGTAAAAGTGTCGGAGGAAATTTACTGATTACCCTCAGATTACCCTTCCTGCATCTGCATCTAGGGTGCGGTAGAGTGCCTGTTCAGCGCTCGCTGTGTGTTGTGTGTTCACTTCTGTCTGATCACTTCAAAATCAACCATACAAAACCCTCATCTCAACCTCTTCCAACCCCGGCCTAGCCACGGCCATTTGTTCAATTATTAGACCGCCTGTTGCGTCGTGGTTAGGTTTGGATGCGATACGTGTATCCCTCTGATCATGATTCTCACTCGCTCGCAATCCTTCTCATTTCTGCAAGGTGCTACAGACAGGAGATGTGTACGACAATAATCGGTCAGCCTCGGTGCCGAAAGAGGAGGAACGTGTTACCGGAATACACCTGTCACATTGCCACAGTACAGTCAGAAGTGCAATTAGTGTAAGAAAAATATGAGTATGGGACGCGAATCTTCGAGTGTTCACCCGTCATTCTTGGAATCACCGCCACTCTCAATATTGAATAGAGCCCATCCGAATACGTAATGCAGTCCTTTAAACACAGCGTGGGCGGAGCAAAACGCTCAACTACGAAAGCAAGGCAAAGAATATACCACACCTTTCTTTGAAGCCGATAACCACCTACTAAGTACAAGGAGATGAATTAAGACTCAACCTCGAACTCGAAGGCAGTCCAAATGTGATTTATGACAAATCACATGTCGCGCATAATAAAATCATATCAGGTTCATCTAGTGTACAGCTTAGCCGCTTAACCTACCTCCATCTTAAAGACGACTTGATATATATTCTAGCAGATCTTTTCATCCTATATCATCGATGTGTGCCGCCCATGATGCATCAACCAGAGATCGAGACGTATTATAGTATGGCATTAGGCCGGTGCTCGGCGTCTGAGAACTATTATATGGGTCGATATGACGAGGATTCCGGCAATGTTATGTAAAGGGAATCTATGCGCCGAAAATCCGATCCGCCGCGTTGACCCGGCCCGTGTCACTCGTTTGCTACAGGTGCTTGCTTGATCGTCGGTCGATCACCCAAAGTAAGCATGAACGTCATCCCATATTCGGGGGAACGGAGTTCGGGCCTAGAACCAAGCACCCTCGAACTCTCAAGGATAATTATTTAACGCGAAATTGTCTTATTGTTTCATCTGTATATTGGGGTTGGTTACCGAATTGTCTTCCCGGAGAACTATAGTCTCTAGGGAAAGATTACATCTTCGACAACCTATTGTGAACACCCACACAATAACTAAATAGATATAACAACGGAATTGATGAATAGAATAAGCCAACAAAAAAGCAAAGAACTGTAGGATGTAGAGAACATTTCTCTATGCCCTTAAACACTTTACTCGTTCTCGTCTCAATTGGCCCCAAAAGGGAAACGTTATGTTAGTGAGATACCAGGGGATGGGCAAATGATACTCGCTCGACACACAAACTATAACTCCAATATCGTGATATTAAGAATTATAGTGCGGTATGGGTTAGATGGCAATGGTAAGACTGTGCCTAACAAGAGCCTTTTAATAGTCTACAAGACTTAATTTAGTCTTAGGCCACACTTCATTTTCTTGTAAGCCACAAATATATATCGGCGTTTATAAGTTGTTTCTCGCATAAGGCATCAAGATATAATAACCACGTTAGCGGCGTAAAGGTTAACCTCTGTCTGAGAGCATTTTAGTACTCTGGAACAAGCCTCGTTTACTATTACTTTTATAATCGCTACCAAATACAATAAATCTCTGGCTTCGAGAAGAATCAATTTATTTTACTCTTCATCAAGTTCAAGTTGACTCTCGGAACTCATACTGGAGGGGAGGGGCAAGCTTATTATGAATCTATCCATTTCAAGGAGACGGCGTGACTTTCCTAGCTTGCAAAAGTGCTCTATGAATATTGCTCTATAGCCTTACCATATATAGGAAATTGGAACCAAAACACCAAGCCCAATACATACACGTAATAGACTGACTAGTAACCTTAGATCGCTTTTTCTAAACCGTAAAATTATATCACGCGTTGTCACACGCAATTGCCACTAGCCTCCAATAGTCCCTGGAATCTCAGACTCCAATGTAGGGAATATCTGATGTCTCGGTGTTGGAATTCAGCCGCACCATCCCTTACATCACTCCGAGACCTGGCTGTAGGGCTGTCTAGAATGGGTAAGGGTGGTCGGCAACTATCGTCGCCGAATGCCGACTCCTTTGTGTATATATAGACCTAGGATTCCAGGACCATTTCCGGAGACCCTTTGGAATGGTCAATGGAAGTTCTGGACCTTAGAAGAATTAATGTAATTCGAACCCATCATTCCAAGCCCTTCACACCCCAGTAGAAGCCCTTGTTATACGCGTACATAGATAGATACACAGAGAGAAAGGGAGATGGGGGAGAGGGGAGTGTAAGAGGTAATTTACGTTTGTTACAAATATAGAGTGACTACAACAAATATCTTAAAGCACTATCGTGTTCCTTCACTCCCATCTCTTTAGTTTCGTGAGTAGAAATCAACACGGAACGCATAATATTAGGCAACGAGACTCCCAAGTTACAGAGCAGTCAATTCTTGAGATAAAACCTAGCGGAACAAGATTCGATTCTTAAAATGTGGTATCATTATCAGAATCAGTAGATCTGATATCTGATAAGGTCTCTTTTTTTAGCTATAGAGGTTTTACCTCCGACGTGTTCCTTGGCTGGCACCGAGCGTCTTGAGCTTTTCTCCACATTTGGCCGGCTTGGCAAGGATATCGGGAGCTTGAGGTGATTCATGATCTATTTACTAGATCAGGAGAGCCAAGCACCTTGGCAAGTCCATGTCCTAGCGGCTATATGCTTTCCGCGGATTGATTCTTGCCCTGTTTGATGCCCCGGGGCTCAAGGAGGTAAGTAAACCGAGTAGAAAGCCAGACGAGCATAATTAACCCACGACGCCCAATGCACATATTAGAAGCCTCCATACGGATTGTTAATTTGTGATCACAGGCGACTGTGAGCGGGGTGAAGGTCAAAGCGGACTGGGGCGGATTCATACAAGAGAGAATTACTCCTAAAGTTCGTGTAAACTATGAAAACCCGAATATATGATATTTAATGAATTATACCGAATTTCATATAGATACGCGATACCTCTACTCTAGAGGGCCATGAATGAACGGAGGGTTGGGCTTGCTTGGATGCTCCAGCACCATCGCTACTACAGTAGTATATATAGAATTTAGAGTGTCTCGCGACTGTCCAATTATAATCAAGCATATTGCCAAAACCGGAAATCAGGTCTACTGGCTCTAGTCTGGCTCCACTAGACTAGAACGAGAAGATGATTGCTGGAGTTGAATAATAAGAGCATCAGGTCGCTATCACAAGTCTACAAGATCTGTGTTACCAGTTCACGTGGTAATAATGGAAGACGATATGGAGCACGTTACCTGGTAAGATATATATTTAAAAGCTAAGTGTACCTGACAAACTCTACTAGCACGCTGAACGTGTGCAGACAATCGAATATCGAGCTGGAAGCCTTCGCCCTCCACCTCCCCACAGGCAAATCCACAAACAAACCCACAATGTAAACGGGTTCCCCCAATTGTTTCTTTGTAAAACTTTTTCAAGACCCCCTCTCGACTCCAGCTGCTCAGCGCACACAATATACAGTATAAAGAAGGTCATTCTCGCCCCAGAAGAAAATTTTCCAATGATAATTCCCCGCTTTCTCTTTCTTAATGCCTTTTCGGGCCCGGCCAATTCAACCGACCATGGCCTCGTGGCCCAATGGCAAGGCGTCTGACTACGAGAGATTCAGAAACTGAATACCTCACGGCGATCAGGAGATTCTGGGTTCGACCCCCAGCGAGGTCAATGTGAGATAACCGCCTACTCACGAGGCTGAGTATTCTTTTTTATGTTTGTTATAACTACCTTTTTTGCTCAATTTTTCTTCTGCTCTCCTATACCTAGCGCGGTTTGGTTCCTACACGCTGTGCTGTGGTGAATTAGAAGAGTGAATTTTTGGGTTTGGCTTGCAAAGTGAGTCATGAATACATGGACTAAGCGTTCATATAGAGGTTAGGTATATTCTTATTGACTAGATAATGGAAGGGGTGAATGAAGTTAAACTGAATCATCGCCTTAGATTCTAACGACCAAGTTCCTACCCCCTGACCCAACGACCCCGCTTCCGAGAAGTTGACAGATGGGTATATATCACGGTAAAATGACATGCCTGTTTCTATACCATCTTAGCTCTATGTGGCGGCTTCCGATCCCGTGGTCCTCTGAAAGTCAGCAACGACAGAGTCCCAGACTTTCTGTGCCGTGCCGTCCTCTCTGAATCGCCGAAGTACCTCTTCGGTTTTGGGCGAGGCGGGGTCGTTTTTCTGGCTCAAGGAATACACACCACTTCTGGTCCTGCCATTAGTTCCCCTCGAGGCTACAGACGAGGCCCCATCTAGCGGCACGCCCGCATAGCCCATACCCTCCCTAGGGGCGAACGCCGCGCTCGTGGCCACGAAGACGTGGCGTTCCCCGCACTCGGTCGGTGGGACATTGATGAGAGGTGCAAGGAGCCGCGAGATACTGATGATAATAGAGAGCCGCAGCGTAGGCTGGACATCGCGCATGATACCGCTCTCTACCACGCCCGGAACAGTGTGGATGAATGCGACATCGGGTGCGCGTCGCTGGGCTTCCTCGAGCATTAGTGTTGCGATTGAGGCTATTTGGTCGCGCCACTTCATCAGTGGGAAACCGCTGCCTGGAATATTGTCGAGGTCGATATCACCTTCGCATGTTGCTGCCCCGACGCTGACGACGCGGCGCAGCGAGTCCGCCTTTTGAAGTAGCGGCAGCAGATTCGTGATGAAACGTACCCGTGAGTGTGTTGCGAGTGCGAATGCGGTGGGAAGACCATCTCCAGTTTCTATTATCGTAAGACAATGATAGTTAGCAAATGCACTGACTAGTTTTTACTCCTCCCGTTTACTCCGTTTTCAGGGGGTTTGGGGATGAAGGGGATAGGCGACACACGAAAATGAGATTGAACACAGTTCAACTTACCAGAGTGAAAAGCCATACTCCCCTGCGATTCAAAGAGGATGTTGATGGCAGACACTTTCTCCTTGATTTGGCGACACACATCGTCGACGTTCCTCAGCAAGCTCACGTCGGCACGTATGAATTCGAAGTGGCCGTCGGGTCTCAGCTGTCGGCACTCGTTCAGGATGCGATCAGCGGCCTCCTGGGACCGGCCGACAATAATGACCGTGGGCGCGCGGGCATATCTAGCAAACGTCTTAAGGGTGTACTCGCCAACACCACTGGTACCGCCTACGAAGACGGCCACAAGGCCAGGGGGTAGCGCGGAAGGAATACGCTCATTGGAGGCGATGACGTCTGAGAGGGTGACCATTTTCTTCCGATTTGGGTATCAACATCTTGGCCATGTTGATGGGGATGACGTGCGCTTTTAACTTCCGTAACTCGTGTCGGTGAATTGATGTTTAGAATACTACGGATCTGGTTGTAGATATCGATCTCGCCTCACCCATGATGCCCAACTAGACCGAATGAAGCGATACGAGACTATTTGGGAATAGCTTTCTACGCTTGATGTGTGGCGTGGTGCCTTACCAAGGCCCACCCGCATGGCTGTAATCGTTAACATCGTCAGTCCTTTGGCCTTGCTACTACTATCGTAATTAATTACAAAATTTGATCTGATGTAGCAAGATACACCGTCGTCAAGATCGTATTAATCCCCAAGCCTCGGGTAAACAAGCTAAAACTAATGTAAGTTGTGCGGTATATGTCAAATTTCCGTCGCAGCATAAGAGTTCTTAGATTTCCTAAGCACAGTGCTAAGGTAATATGTAGCGAAGATCGACATTTCAGTAGCCTGCTATATATATGTAGGCCATTAATAATGCTACAGCAAATGTTTATTTTTATTATCCAAACTCAGGCCAGCGCACGACTTCCTACTCCTCCTTGGTACCCCTGCGTCTAATACGAGCTATTCTAATTGATACTGCCCCTTCTAAGTGAGGATATCCCGTGTACACGCAGTGCCCGCCTAGCTTTTGACCTTCATTACGGCTCGAATTAGTTTATCATCTTATTAATTAGACGCTCTCGCAAGACCCCCTCTGCCACGACAGCCCGGTTTTGCGCCCACCACCAATCCTTGTGGGATAGGAGTATTCTAACCGCGCGATAGAAGTGGTAGAGGAGAAATAGAGCGTGCGAGTCACCGCGTTCGATTAGAGCCGGAAAAGCACTCCATCCCAGCAGTGGGAAGGACAGGATGAATTTAGCTAACAAGGGTAACGTGGATGAAGAACCAAGGCCGGAAGGGGAATCTAGTGGTTGATCCCCGTCAAGGAAGGGGAGAATAAGACAGAGCCGACGGACAACCGGGACATATGCATCTTCTACTAGATCGGCTGCAACTTGTGTTTGAAAAATAGGGCTTGGCCTGGAACTCGAGTTGATCTGGTCCTCGTCTACAACACTTGAGGGAGACATATTCAACATTTCCATAGTAAGCAGCCGGCTGTATGAGAAAAAGTTTTCATATTCAGCCAGCCTGTCGGGGCTTGCTTGGGAAATGGCGGCAATTTCGTCCCCAGGGTTTTTAGTAAGGGATTGTCGAAACAACGACGGCTGCTCCCAGGGGCGTTCGAAGCCGGTCATGAGCGTCTTCTTTAGACTGGAACTAAATCCAAAGACACGGTCTGTCCATGCCTCGGATACTATTTCGTTGTCCTGCGGAGGCAGGAAGTAGTCGGTGTTAGTCCACGTATCGTAATAGAATAAGATTGACGTTGCTAGGAAGGCATCGAAGTGAATCGAGGTGCTGCCTTTGGACAGCTCACCACGAAGCCCAGACGAGGCCCGGCACAAGTGACTAGCCGCCGCTGTCTTGTACGTCGGGTCCTCCGGGCAGATAACAGCAAGGTGCCTCGCCGCGATACATAGTATGGCGTTCATCAAATAGTCGAACTCGAAAGAGAGCTGCAGTACATAATCCCAGGCTTCTTGACCGCACAGGAGAGTCTGACGAGTCTCGGTCTGGAAATGGTGAAACAATTTCATATGGAGAAGATTCACGGCAGCATTTGTCGATCTAAAACTAGAATTCGGGACCTGTGTTGGCATTTTGAGGGTTGACGCCTCGTCAGTGCCTCGTGTATACCGCTGACAGTGATCCCCTCTCCGAATACAATTGGCACATGGTGTTTCTTCGGTACACTATACATGTTCCACGTCAATTCATATCCTGGTATGGTTACAATGGTGCTAAAGCTACCTACCTACCTTGACTCGGCGTCTTCTGCAGCTATCACAGCCCCCTCTGGACTTTAGGTGCGCTCGTCGTTTCCTGGGCGGATCAACGGACAAGGCCTTTGGGACTTCAGAAAGGACCTGGCCCGAGCCTGACGCCGAGGATGAGAGAACAAATGTGTTACTAAGATCCTTCAAAGTAGGGTTAGATTCTGTCGAGAATCCGTTCGTAGGCATGATAGAGCCGATATACGCGAGACTAAGCTAGTGTTAGATCTTTCTGCAAACCTCCCTGTTTAAGGGTATCGGTAGATGAAACCACCCTCGTACCTGTCTAGCTCCGGTACCGTAGCACAATGTACAACGTCCAACGGTTTCATGTGTTAAAAGGCTCGGTTCTTGGGTAGAAGCTAAGGGTAGAAAACTATCCGATGGTGCCGTATTGAGCGAGCACCAATGTAAACAGGAGAAATTAGTCCGGGGTACGGAGTTCATTTCCAGCTTAACCCCGCGACTTACCGTCTTTCATCTCGTATCGTCGTACTAGGTTTAGCGTCCGCTCGACCCGGAGAGCTGGGGCAGATGGTTAAGGGCTTCCACCTGACTGGTGTGAGTGACAGCTACGAAAGTCTACCTAATGACCAACGGGTCTCGTGGGTCCCAATAATGGGTCAGCTAGGAGGTTCGTTGAGCCTACGACTAAAAATATAGGTGGCATAGAATAATTCATAGAGGCTATGTCTCTTGTTTAATTCATAATTGCAGTGAACTGGTCTCAATCTCTACAAACGTGTTTTACATTACAACATTCGCTACCTGTAATGAAAAATAAGTGTGAAATTCACATTCGTTGGACCTATCTCTATATAAGTCGCTCGATGGAAGGTCTCCCAAATTAGGTGAACCTGTACCGAGTTGTTTGCCACTTACAGCCATCAATATACCACAGACCGAACAAATCGAGAAAAGAACAAGTAAAAGAAAGCAAATCCTAAGCCCGGAACTAGCCATAGATTGCTAGTTTCCGGTGGGGTATAGAGCGTCCTACCGTGAAGTCCCTGAATTCAACCCATCCCGGACGCCTACCTAAGTATGTAGAGGTACAAAGTAAGTACCACTTGATTTACCACAAAAAGAGGACCAACAGCTTAATTAACCGCTTATTGGATAGATCTCGGGCTCTTAATAGGATCTTCCTTCACGGCGATAATGTGAGAGCACTGCCAATGTGTGCCCAGATTAACACACTCCTGCACTATCTCCTTGTCTTCCCACCACCATCGCGATGCATGAACAAATCCGCCCCACACTTCTTGCCATAGCAATCTATTCGATAGGCAGCGGAGCTCTGTCTTCAAATCCTCATTACTAGGATTCTTGGGGACGACTGAGATAGCCGGGATGGTTTTGGTCGCAATGGTGCTGCCTTTTCCGCGAAGGTGTCCCACAGCCAACCAAGCCGGGAAGGTCTCGCTAGGCCACGTAGTACGGAAGGCTTGCTCTAGGTTAATTAAGAGATTCGTAAATAGCCACTGCCTCAATTTAGGGCCCATCGAGGCTGATACAGGTTGTGGGTC